ATTGCAGACTTTCATGTTCTGTAAATTGTATTAAAAACAAAGCTGCTGCTGTTGTTGATCATTCTGTTTTTATAAGCAGCCCTCCCAAAGCCTGTACTCTGGGGAAACAATGGAAAGGTCTAAAAAAAGTTTTTGAAGATGTTTTTGATAAAACAATTGACTGAATGTGAGTGACTCTGTCTGACTTAATCAGATGTCATATATTATGTACCTCTGTGTGTAACCATGTTAATGTTTTTGTAGTACAAATACAGTACACGTTTTTATTATATTTTATCAAATTTTGAACATTTTTGTTTCGGGCAGGTAGCTTTTCATGTCGGGCAGGTAGCGTTTTTTTGTCACCTGCCCGACAGGGCCCCGACAGRGCAGGTTAAAAAAATTCTTGTCGAACYCTGCCACACATCTCAGGACAATGGAGAGAAGTTATCAGGAACGTGCTGCTACTATCAGAAAAGTTGTAATTATTCTGTCATATCAACTAGTTCTGGCAATTTTACATGCTGTCTGGAGATGTAGAGAAAGAAATTAAATTCTTTTCACGTTACAGGAATAACTGAGAATACGCCGACAGCGGGAGGAGGGTCCTGCTGCCAGTCATGACTGCAGTCGCTCTGGTACCGGTACCGTTCAGACAGTGAGAACACCTGATCAACCATGTGAGGTAAATGTTCACYATGTCAGAACTTATTCAGCAAATGTGTTTTCATCTCTACTTTTGCGCATTAACTCTTTTTCTAAAAAACCCCAAAATCACTTCAAGTGAGCGTATCAACTTGTTTGCAAATTAGAGGAAGTTTTTTTGAATCATGCCGTTTCCATTCACCTTTTCTGATGCAATACTTTAAAATGTGCATTAAAAAACCTTGATGGAAACACAGCTACTGTAATATCCTTACTTTGTGTGCTATCTGTATMTAGAAAATCTGTAAGTTTGATGTGCTTGAAGTTCTCTAGTGTTTCTCATAAAAAACACAAACTGAAAGTGCCTGCCTGCCTAAGTCAGTGCACATGTCAGCATGTCATTTCAAAGTACATGATCTGAACAAATAAATAAGACCAGTGGCGTAATGACAGGATTGTTTAAGTCTGAGTATAATGATAAATCACAATAATCAAAATAATCATGAGTAAAAAAACAAGTTTATAAAATGTAACATGATCACAAAACAAAAGGGAAAGGTTTTCACTGCGATTGTGCTCACCTATGGATCTTGTATTCTCTGGGAACACACTTCTTCATGATGGCCAGCAGGTCATCGTCAGCATCCCTGCAGTGGATCACCAGAGGTTTCTTCATGGCCACGGCCAAGCGCAGCTGACGCTCAAACACCTTCACCCAGAAAAAAACGGAGTCAAGACGACGTCATGTCAATTATTAGCAACACTACTCTGTCACTTCATGATAACAGAATGTAAAAGTTAGAGCTTACTTGTTTTTGCCGTGCAGTGTTGGTGGAGTTTTTATGAGAGTAATCCAGTCCCATTTCACCAAATGCCACAGCTTTTGGGTGCCTCATTGCCGTCAGTATATTGTGTTCCTGAACACTTGAGTAATTCTTGGCAAAATGAGGGTGGCAGCCAAATGCCCCCCATACCATGTCTTCAGCCAGCAAACCTTCCCACAGGTCTTCCTTCATCATGACATCAGGGTTGCAGAAATTTGTAATACAGCCTCGAAACTCCGGACTGAAGCTGTTCCTGTAAAGTTGTCGGAAGCGGCTAAACGTCCCTCTGAAGCCAAGTTTTCCATACAGCATGTCTAAATGGCAGTGCGTGTCAATGAACTCTGAGGGCTGACTGTCCCTGGCGGGGTAAGTGGTCCACAGAGGTTCAGCTCCCTGGGACAATCTTTTCACAGGATTGAAACCGGAGATTAAGGAGCGAGAAGTGAAATGTGTAGAAAAGCCACCCTCACTATGCCTTCGTGACACCGYAGAGTTTAAAGAGCGGTCTGATACGCTTACATTGGGCAGCAGCGGCAGAGCAAAGGGGTCCAGTAAATTACCTTTGGCGGACGAGGGAACATTCCAAGTCTCAGTTGTGAAAGAGTTAAGAGAGTCTGTGTTTGGAGAGTTGGGCTGTTTGAAAGAGATAAAAACAGTCCTCTGTGGCGATGAGAGCTGTATCCTATTGTCCTCTGCCTGGACCGTCTCAGGGTCTTCAGTAGTGCACAGGAAAGCATCAGAGGAGGATGTTGCCACTTCCTGGGAGCTCTGGGATAGCTCAGTGTTCTGCTGGGTCGAGAAACTAGAGAAATAATCTGGAATATTCTCCAGCGGAGGGACAGAAGAGTCACAGTTTCCATCTTCTAAGTGATTTTCTGGGGGAAACAACTTGCCTTCAGAGGTGRTCTCCACAAAGACAGGGTCCTAAACAACAACAACAAAACAAAAAGACAAAAACATTGGATTCCTTTGGGCTTGTTTTTCCTTACAGGTTTGATATTAGCTCTAACCTCATAACATTTTAATATTAAAAGTTCCTGTTTGTTTGAATATCTAATCATACRGTTTCACTTTCTTTTTAAAAAATCAAATATTTTTAAAAACATTTAAGACATACCCTCGCATCTGTTTTTGACTCGAGGTCGTCATCCTGGGAACGTGTGTCCAAACACACCTGAATGGGAGAACAGTGATCCGTCTCGAGAGCAACAGCATCCTCAGACTGGTCGAGTTTGCTTGTAAAGTAGCTGCTATCCACTATCTTCCTGTCAGGAGACAGTAAACTGGGTCCTGCAGTTTGAACAGAGCTACTCTCTGACAGACTTCTGCACTTTTTGGTTGAGCTCAAATTTGCTTCCTTCTTGCCAAGGGCTGCGATTAACGCCTTCCTGCAGATAGCCCTTGACCCCTCCTCAGGGGTCCTCTGTTTCTTTTTCATGATGAAAGAGTGAGATGAAGTTGTTGATGTTTGCCAACTCTCTGGGGATTCCAGCAGCTCAGGTGACGTGTTCGTAGACGTATCCTGAGCCACAAACAGAAAAGCCATAAATAAATAAATATATTTTTAATACTCTCATTTTATGTGCATACATAAATAAAGATTTACCGTAGGTATTTTGAAAGTATCTGAATTTTCTCGCTTCCTCAACTTGGCTTTGCCTGCAGAGGGCGCATTTTGACAGAGTGCCTCTGGTTTTCTCTTTGGCGTGTCCAGATTCAGAGATCCAAAGCACATCGATCCTGGGGAGTCACTGAGGGGAAAGGTGCTCCTCAGCTGTTCCTTTTTAGGTGTTTTRCAGGAAGGAGGAGTGATTGACCCAACATTTCTCTCCTGACCACACATCAGTGGGTTGAGGGCAGTCTTCAACCAGTTAAATTTCACCTTTTTATTGCCGTCCATGTCTGGTCCAAGACAAAGTTGAAAAAAACAACGATCTGTGTGGGCATCTGGGAAGCCTTGAGAGGTGGGGGGGGTTCTGAAAGAAGTAGAGAACAAAAATAGGTAAATAGTGCAGCACTCTGTTGTTTTTTATTGTTTCTTTTTTAAACGATGCACCAAAAAGAAACAAATCAAAAAATGTTACATTTGGGATGCAGTAAATTCATTATCTTTCCATCATTCATCAGGTCTGCCTTTTAATTAAGTTATGCAAATTCAATAAAGGTTTCACAAATCCCAATTTGTTTTTAAATATTCTGCTATTAGTGCAGAATAATTTAGTCCAGGTTTGAAATCCTTGTAGTTTTGGACCAGTTCTAGTGTGAGCCAGATGCATAAAAAGTGGAGTAATCACCTTTTATTGAATCAAAAAGAAAAAAATMAGTAGGTCCTCTGGATGGGTTCTTCTTTAGTGAAACGTTTCGTCTCTCCTCCAGGAGACTTCTTCAGTCTGATGAGTTTAGGTGAAATTCAACCTTATAAGCACTGCCTCCACATGGACAAACAGGTTAGTCACATGCAAAATAGGTTTTTGCATTTGACTGTTTTTTCACCTGAAACTCATCAGAATGAAGAAGTCTCTTGGAGGAGAGACGAAACGTTTCACTACAGAAGAACCCATCCAGAGGACCTTTTTTTTTCTTTTTGATTTTTTTTCTACCTGGATTACTGAGATGCATCAGGACACCTTTTATTGAAGTTTCACAAATCCCACACTTGTTTTTAAATATTCTGCAACCAGTGCAGAATAATCTAGCCCATGTACCATCATGTACTTCATAGATTGTATTCAACGTACAATGTAAGTGTCCAAATATTTTAGGTTTTAAACTAGAGATTAAAGATGTTGAAGGTACCTTTAGCAAGGCATTTCCCAATCGGAAACCAATTTTATGAACAATAATCGGCACTGAGTGGTCTATGATATTCCAATACATTGAAATAATTGCTAAAAATAACATAAAGGAAATTATTTTAGTATAAATATGAGGGTAAAAAAATAAATACAGTACAAGGACATTTTAAAAAACTCAAAAATCGCCAAAGTTTTGAATGCACACGTGCTACACACTGTTAGCGTCACAGCACGTGTCACGTTCAAAACCTTAGCGATTTTTATTTATTTATTTTTTACCATTTTTAACCATTCGTAGACATATTTAATGTTTAATGTGCCTTTAACCGTCTTTAGGATTAGCATTCTGGCACAAACGCGGCGGCCAAAAACGGAGACTGTCGATAGCACGCTAGCATCATCAGTAGCTAATGCTAGCTATTAGCTAACAAACTTTTTAGATTTTAGTCGAACTCAACAAACACCCTGAAAGGTCATGAGGTTGTGACTTTACTCTAAAACACAAACATATTTGCAGTGACGCAAAAGCAACACCGCAACATTTATTATTTAAATGAAACTAATGATGACGAACTGAGTTACCTTTTCTCCTGAACGAGGCGCTGTAAACTGCCACTCTCAACACTACAGCTCACATATTTAAATAAATCACGAAACAGAATAAAAACTAAATTTCTTCGACCAAAGAAAAACTWCTTTTAAAAACCACTAGATGGCGGCAAAGTCTGATGTAACTTCAGCCATGTTTGATTGGAGCTACCAAATCTCGCGACAACAGCCTTAATCTCGTGTGATGAATGGAGAGATGAGGTGCTGCCTTTCACAACAGCAGTTTGTAATATTAGTCAGCATGTATCACTGTTTATTTTATTAGAGTCAGAAGAGTGGCACAGCAACATGAACAAAACTGTTACATCTACATTTTTAATATCTTACAATGGTGTCTGTTTGTACATGTTATGATTTTTGTCACGAGAAATAGAAAAGTAGGTTAACATAACAGAAAACTACCGTAGGT